GGCCTATGGAACACCCAAGGAGCAGCTGTGGCACCTGAGACCTCACCAAGAAGATTCCGGCCAGAATGGGTAATGGCGGGTCAACCATCACACTAGCTTCCTAATTTGCACCAGACACCTCCAGAATAAGGGAGGAGGGTACAGTACAAGCTACCATACACCGTTGCTTATTATGGACGCACTGCAGACTTAAACAAATGATTGTGATCGCTTGCCACTCCACTTCCAGGACTCTTATGCTTAAACCGACTGAGGACCGGTGGCTTCAGGACTGGTATTATGTATTTGTTATCTGATGTTTTTCATTCCACTTGTGATAGATGTGTGACACTCTCCAAGTACCCTAGCGACATTCCCCCCAGGGTCTGGGACACTAAGTAAAGGGCCAGACCCGAATCATTCAGGCTATGTCCTATGCTAAGCCATCGCAGTAATGCCCTCACCGTGTCTAGAATCGCATGTGCGGCGAGGATAACATACCCCTGAGGCTTATCTCCCACCCCCCACTGACAGATAATGGGGGAGAATTGGGCATGCCCAACTCGCTCATCCACATTAGTACAATCATGGGGAGACCCCTGCGTGGATAGCTGGGGCTCCAGCATGTAGCAATACAGCTACGTGGAAGCAGGCACTGCCAAGGCGGGACAGCTGGGTAGGGAACTATGCCCACATCTCCCAACCAACCCCTTGATAATTGGGGAACCCCTGGATTAATTTACGTTACTATACACCCCTTGAAAATTTGGGGTACCAACAGTTTAAATTAAAATAGAGCATCATGATAGGGGTTGACCCTTCCAGCAGGGCCGTACAGCCCCTGAGTAGAACGATGTCACGTGGGAGGGGAAGGAAAAGACATAACTCCAGGTGCAGTGGTTTACTTACAAACATAAATAAAAATACAAAAAAAGAAACATAAAAAGAGTTCTGATTATGACGTAACAACTGCGTTCCGTAATCCCCCTGACATAATGGTTCAGGAATGAATCCAACACCTGGATGCTGGTGCCCTGAGGGTAAATACGAACAAAGGTTTTTATGTAACCGACCATTTAGAATGCCCCCCATATCTGATTGTGCAAGAGCACTGACTAAAAGCAGAGGTTATGGCTCCGGAGCGAAGCTTGCTCCACACGACCCCCCATGGGATGTACACTGGGAAAGGAGCGTGAGAGCTCCCCAGTTACTCTCTCCAACGCGAGATACTTTCTTTGCAATGTTTAAGTTTTAAACCATGTTGCCCCCACCACCCACAAGCCCAGGTAGCAGACTATTTCTTAGTGCCAAGACGGCCGCTCACACACACAGAACATAGGTCTAACTCGACGTTACCACAGCCCGTGGAGAACGACTAACCTAACACAAGCCAGCATAGCCATTACAGCACCTTCTCATTCCCCCCAGAATGACACACCAATTCAAATGTCTCTTAATGAACGTTAATGGTCTGAATAACCTGTTCAAGAGACATTCAGCTATGCAAGAAATATACAAAGCGAAGGCAGCTATAGTATGTCTGCAGGAAACCCACCTTTGTAAGCGGAACCCCTTCCGCTTTCAAACCGTCCCGCTATCCCCAAAGCTTTCATGTGCTATTGCCGCATAAGTCCAAAGGAGTTTCTATATTGTTCCACGCAGACTGGGTTTTCCAGCAAAACGAGGTATACAAAGACAAACTGGACAGATTATTGATAGTGGTGGGTACGATGAATGGCATAAAAGTCACTGTATATACGCCCCAATGAAGCTCAAACCCCCTTTTTACAGAAAGCACTAAACAAAATCACCAAACTAAGACAAGGCCATACCATCATATGTGGGAACTTTAACTGTACACTGGACCCTGACATGGACATACAATGGGCCAAAGGGAAGTGCCCCCTCCACCAAACCATTTCCCTTAGCCGCAAACTGTCTACGCTCCTGCAAACACACGACCTCTTTGACACGTGGCATAGCCTATTTCCAACCGGGAAGGACTACACCTACTTCTCCTCTGTGCACCGTACCTACTCGCGCATAGATATGTGCGTAGTTGACAAAATGACCCTGCAAAACATGGAGGACGTATCAATAGGGAATAGGACATGGTCTGGCCATGCTCCGGTCATCACCACATTTAAAACCTTATATTCTGTGATAGGCAGGAGTACATGGCAACTAAACAAAAGTAGGTACTAAATGAGCCAGCCCTAGTAACAAAACATCCAGGTGTTCTATCAAGACCACTCACAAGACACGTCTACCACAACCACACAATGGTTGGCCCTTAAGGCAGTGTTCAGGGGCCTTCTCATACAGACAGGATCTGCCCGCAAAAAAAAAGTAAATGAGGACAGGGGGCGACTGTTAGATGACCTTAACAAAATAGAAGCCAAAAATAAAGCCAATCCATCAAAAAAACTAACAAAACGCATCAGTAATATCAAATCGGAATTACAGGCGATGTCCCTGATTACTATGGAGAGACAAATGCGTAAACTTAGTCTAACTCACTACATGCAGGGAAATAAAGCAGGCAGATTGCTAGCAAGGAGATTAAAAACCCAATACCTGCAGTCCAACCTGCCTTATATGACATCAGCTGCCAACACTAAATAACTTGTGACAGTCCAAGATACATATCAACCCACTAACTATGAAATCAATGCTTTTCTGGGGGCCGTAGACTTACCACTCATGACCGACCAACAATGTCAATCCTTACTCGCACCTTTCTCGGAAGAGGAAGTGCACAGGACTATACACACCCTCCCCAAACATAAAGCCCCGGGCCCGGACGGGTTCCCAAACTTCTTTTACTTAACGTTCGCAACATAACTCACACTGCACCTCACCAAAATTTTCAACCACTTCAAGGACTCTGGGACCATCCCAGCAGAGATGCTACTGGCACATGTAATCACACTACCCAAGCCAGGCAAAGCCCCTACAGATGCTTCAACTTAAGACCTATCTCGTTATTAAACGAAGACACTAAAATATATGCAAAGCTGTTAGCTATGCGCATTAAACCAATGCTGATAGACATGGTCTCTCCAGAACAGGTGGGGTTCGTTCCCTCGTGACAACCGGGCGACAATACCCACCACTTCCTAAATTTGATTTAGTGGGCCCAGACGAGCCAACAATAGAGCCTATTATTAGCCCTGGACGCTGAGAAAGCGTTCGACCGCTTGAATTGGACATATATGACAGAAGTACTGACAAAGATGGGTCCCCCCCCCCCCTTTCCAGGACAGCATACTGGCCCTGTACTCTCACCCTCATCAGAGTCCATACAGATGTTCAAACAGCAACTAGATGCATACTTGCAAAAACAGAATATTCAAGGATATAATTTTTCAATGTAGGGTAATAGCCTGCTTGATCCAAGGATAAATCTGACTGCCATTCTGGAGTCAAGAAGGATTTTTTTTCCTAGTTTGTTGCAAAATTGGAAGTGCTTCAAACTGGGAAAGAACAGTCCCTACCCTTGTCTCAGAGGCATTTTTCTCTAGTATGAAGGGTTTGCTAGTGTCAGGATGTACCAATATGTCAGCCGAGGCAAATAATTTCTTAAGAAGCTCAAAAGCTTCTCTAGCTTCTTTAGACTTTAAAGTACAGTTAACCCCCTTACGTGTCATATTGGTGATGGGGCTATCATAGTAGAGAAACCTTTGATGAATCTCCTATAGTAATTTGCAAACCCAATAAACCTTTGAGTGGCTTTTAACCTATTAGGTAATGGCCAGTGTAGAACAACTTCTAGTTTGCCAGGGTTAGATGCTCACCCAGTCTCCACTCCTTCCAAACAATCATTAAAAACCCACTTCTTCATAAAAGCATATCAATTAAACTGTTAATAGCTCCCGACTGATTCCTCTCTTGCAACTGTCATTAGTCTAATACTATCCTTACCTTTTATGTCACTTTAGCCCACTCCCTCTAGCATGTAAGCTCATTGAGCAGAGCCCTCAACCCCTATGTTTCTGTGTGTCTAACTTGTCTGGTTAAAACTAAGTTTGTTCATCCACCCACTGTAAAGCGCTGCAGAATTTGTTGGCGCTATATAAATAATAACATAATAATCTGAAAACCAGAGGCCAAAATATTATATCCCAAGAACTGTACCACCGTCTGATCAAATATACATTTCTCAAGTTTTCAATATAGCCCATTTTTAAGCAAAGTTTGCAATACTTGCTCCACGTGCCTATGGTGAGTCTGGAGATCAGGGGAATAAATGAGAATATCATCCAGATATAACAATACAAAAGTATAAATGTAGTCTCTGAGAACATCATTAATGAAATCCTGAAATACGGCCGGAGCATTGCGTAAGCCGAAGGGCATGACAAGACTGATAGTACACTTCTCGTGTTAAATGCAGTTCTCCATTCATGACCCTCATTAATATTTACCAAATTGTAAGCACTCCTAAGGTCAAGTTTGGTAAACACCTTAGCGCCCTGGAGTCTGTCAAACAATTCTGAGATAAGGGGAAGGGGATAAACATTTTTGAGGGTGATCTTCTTCAATACCCTATAATCAATACATGGCTGTAACTCTCCATCTTTCTTGGATACAAAAAAGAACCACACACCTGCAGGTGAAGAAGATTTATGTATGTGACTTTTTTGTAGACACTCTTTAATGTAATCCTCCATAATCCTACTTTCCTGTGGTGATAAGGCATAAGCTGCCCCCTTAGGGGTCATAGTGCCGGGTATCAAATCTATGGAGCAATCATAAGATCTGTGAGGAGGTAGCGTATCAGTGTGACCTTTACTAAACACTCCTTTAACCTCCCAGTACTGCACAGGAATTTCGGTAGGCTGAGGCGTAGGAGTAGGTAGAGCAACGATGCCCACTCTTTTAGTAATGGGTAACATACATCTCTCACTAAATTCTTTACCCCATTCCAGTATTTCCCCCTTAGCCCAGTCAATATTAGGATTATGCTTAACAAGCCATGGAAATCCTAGTATAATGGGACAAGAAGGGGAAGCAATTATCTGAAATGTAATGATTTCTTTGTGTAACGCTCCTATAGTAACAGTAATGGGTAATTAGAGGTTGAGAGAGAGGTCTCCCATCACTGGCCTCGACGACCAGGGGTGATGATCTCTCCTTGATGAGTGGGCACTCCAAAGTATTGACCCTTTTACAAATACGTAGCGGGCAGTTTATATATTTTTAGTTATTGTAAGTTAAAGATGCTGAGGAAGATCAGGCGAAGGAGGCTTCTAAAATTCTGACCACTGACTGACTATTTTATTATTTTTATTTGGGGGATTTAGTTCATTGGGGGATGGAGGGTGGTAGCTAGTGGGAAGTTGGGGGCTTCAGTGTTAAGTTGGGGGTTCAGTGTTAAGTTAGGGGTTATAAAAAATTAATTGTCATGTTGTGGTCTTTTGATAGCCCAATAGCACGTTTACTCTGATTGGTTACCGAATCTTGGCTTTGTCTCCCGTTTATTATGTCTTCTCTGATTCTTGACCTCGGCTTGTCCTATCGTTGTTTCGTTTCTCTTTACTCCTTTGATCCTGGCTTGTAACTTGACTATTCTCTGCTTGTATAGCCTGGCCATTTTAAGGACTGGTATTAAATGTTTCTCTCTCTTTGTGGTCTGTCTGTGTGTTTTGGTTCCGGAATCCGTGACAGCGTTGCCCATGACGCAGATGACTGGGTACTACCCCCTGATAAGTTTACACCACATATTTCCCCTTTCACAGCAAATCGTATGCACTTGTTAATAATTTGAATTGATGAGCTGCTAATATTTAAAAATAGATGTGACTTTTGGGAGGTAATTTGCAATCATGAGCTGCTAAAATGAGACTTAGGTCCTGCATCTGCTTTTAAAAAATATGAAATTGCTGTGTCTCAACTGTGCCCCTTCAACATCCACAAACCCTGATAAAGGTACACACGGGGGTATTGTTGTACTAAGACGACATAGCTGAGCAACATATTAGGTGTTATACTGCCGCACTGCCACACTTAAGGATTGCAAAATATACAGTAACATTTCCAAGTGTGTGTCAAAAAGGCAGAAAACATGCTAATTGCTACTAGACGTGGTGCAAATTAGCAAAAAATGATCCTACGCTAAGGTTTAAAATATTCCTTTTGAAACCCCCTGGGGTGTCTACTTTAAGAAATGGTAGGCCTTTGTGGGTTAGTTTGAATTAAAAACCTGCTAAGATGCTCGAAAATTGAACATGGACCCAGCGTCAAAACTCAAAGTTAGGAAAAAACTGATATGGCTTGGTCTCCAATGTGGCCCTTCAACATCAACATATTCCTAAAAAAGGTGCACATAGGGGTATTGTTGTACTAAGCTGAGCAACATATCAGGTGTTATACTTCCGTAGCACACATAAGGATTGCAAAACATACAGGAACATCTCCAAGTGTGTGTCAAAAAGGCAGAAAAAAATACTAATTGATACTAGACTTTGTGCAAACTAGCAAAAAAAAATGATCCAACGCTAAGGTTTAAAATATGCCTTTTGAAATCCCCTGGGGTGTCTACTTTTACAAATGGTAGGCCTTTGTGGGATGGGGGGGTTTAACAGTCAAACTGCTATAATACCCCAAATCAAATCCTTCTCTCAAATTTCTACTGTAATATGGCACTGTAGCTTCACAAAATAGTGCCAATGACATTCATTGGGGGTATCGTTTTACACAGAAGACTTAGCCGAGCATAATTTTGGGGCTTTGATCATAGTGGCACATATCAAATATACAAAATGCCCAGAAGAAATGTATGTAAACGTATGTAAAAAATGACAAAAATTATTTTTCACCACAAACTTTTACATATACTGGTGAAAAAATGGGGACATGTTAGGGTAGAATATGCACCATATGAGATACCCTGGAGTGTCTACTTTTAGAAATGGTAGGCCTTTGTGGGTTTTTTTTTTTTTTGAACAGTCAAACTGCTATAATACCCCAAATTGAAAAATAGGCCCATCAAATCCGTCTCTCAAAATTCTACTGTAAATACTGAAATGGACAGGTCTCCTATATGGCACTGTAGCTTTACGAAATAGTGCCAAAGACATACAATGGGGGTATCGTTGTACTCAGCAGATGTAGCTGAACACAAAATAAAGTTTTGTACAGGAATAGCACACACCAACTTTACAAAAGATCTTTTGTTATAAGTTTGTGTGTCAAAAACAAAAAAAACAACACAATTCTACTCCAATACTAAGCAGAGATTGGCGGTGAAATTGCTACGTTAAAAGTGTCAGAATAACCTAAATATAAATAGCCTGTGATGACTACTTTATATAAATATATACTTTTGTGTGGCAATTTTGTTTTCTTTTACGGCTATTAAGCTTACAAGACAAACATACCAAATTCTAAAATCGCTCCACATTGTTTATTGTACTTCTTGTGTTTTGTGACCTGTAACTACCAAAAAAACTTAAAATCCTAATATATATTCTGTAAACCAGAACAAATAAATGAATTTATTTTTAATTACTTTCCTTAACCTGCACTAATTATGCACACATTATTATTGCAAAAACTGTAAAAAAAAAAAAAAAAATGTTCCTTCCCCCCCTTTTTTTTATTAATAAATAAGCAAAAAGCAAAAGATCATGACAGTACCACAAACTTATCATATCTATAGGCCAAGTCTCTCCCTCCCAGGTGATGTGGATTAAGGTGGTAATCCGTGCATTCTGTCACGTTTCTCATGGCGTTCTGTCAGCATGGACGAAGCATGGAGGACTTACCTTGAGTGGCCATTAGCCCAGTAGTGAGGTAAATAATCTCTTGAAAGGCTGTGTTGCCTTGGGGAGACCCCCCTGCCTCCAGCAACGTTTGTCTCTCCATGTTTCTGCAGTCCGGTTAAAACATATTGGGCATGGTCACACAGCTATGCCCAAAAGCTCTGAAAAAGCTAATTGAGCCACTGTAGAAAGTATTTAATAAAGCAGTTATGGGCCCTTTGTGGAGGATAAGGACATTGTGAGTTGGAGAGGGAGACATCCGCCATTTTGTACGGTTGGAGTTGGACAACAGAGCAGCTCTTTGTGATTGGTAGGTGCCGCTTAGAGGTTTCCAGTGGGGACCAGGATAACACCCACTGGTCCACAGGGTGGGGTAAGTGTGCAGGGGGTTTGTTCCCCGGACAAAGCGTGAGGAGATAGGCTGCCTCTTTCCCGTCTTGCTCCCAGCAGGCTGCAGCGTAATTACCGGGGCTCCCAACAGTGTAGAGTGTTGGATAAAGTGCCAGGTAGCTGTGTATAGACAGTAGCTTTGTGTTTTTATAATCAGGGTTATAACCCCATAATTAGCCAAATCAGGAGGAACTTGGGCAGTATGCGTTTACACAGCTTGGACACCAGGCTCTGCCCCCCTATATTTTTATATATTAATATCAAAGGCTGACATTCATCTGGTTATGCTACTTTCGTATAATTAACATCATGAAACATTCTTCTTTCAAAACACCAATGCAGATTCTCTCAGATTATTAAAACAAACCTCAATAAGATTGCTTTACATTCTTTACCTGTTCACAAGAGCATCACGTCCAGTTTCTCTTCTAGAAACTTGAAAACTTTACGACTCTATTCTTTATAATGCCTCAAACACTTTCAACTCCACTCTTCACATACAATTTGGGACTCAGGTTTCAATATTCCTTGACACAGTGAACTATGCTTATTTCTAAATCCACAGGGAAGTCAATCCATGTCTACTTACATAAATTCCAGACTTATCTACATTCATTGTGTCACTTACACATTGCATTTATATGAAATAACAGATTCTACAGTGTAAGTGGATGCAAAAGTCTGTAGCACAGCAACAAGGTTTCCTACGGCTGAAAGCAGAAGAAATTAAAAGCCTGAACTTGGTGTGCTTCTGCTAGAAGTGTAAATTAGGTTAGAACTATCAAAGTACAACAAACAACATACATCAAAATCACCATGATGGGAAAAAATAATCACATACAATTTATATATCATACTTAAGTGGATGTGCCACCAAGACCTAAATAATCAAATAAAGTTTACATATATATGAACAATAAGTTTACTCATGAGTGGCCCCACCACTCAGACTCAAAGGGAACCGCCCTTTGTGTTCCAACTCAATACGGTTCAAGATGGACTCAGCCCGAGAGAGACCTGAAATAAAAGGATTAAAAGTGCTCACTGTTTGAGGTTAATCCATCCTGGAAACGAGCCGGAAAACAAGTCTGCCACGTGCGTACGTGGCAGAATGCACATTTTTCTTTTCCTTTATACATAAGCTAGCAGGGCCGGACTGGGAGAAAAATTCGGCCCGGGCATTTTTTTAACACAGCGGCCCACTAAAAAGGGGGCGGGGCAGAGGAGGTGTGTTTTGTCACCAATGACAAACACGCCTCCTCTCAAAGTGAGCATGTTGGTTCAATGCTCTTCCAGGGCAGACCATGCGCAGAGCTCTGCTGAAGAGCTCTAGCATGAGAAAAAAGTCCTGTATTTGTTTTGCACAGTGCAAGCAAATTTAATAACATGCTTGCACTGTGTTTCCTTGCAACTTGTCTCTGGTGTCTATAAATGGATACCAGGAGACAAAAGGCCAGGAAAGAGTATTGTGCATGTGTTTGGAGCCTGCTTGTGGTATTGCGTGTGTGTAGAGTGAGCTGGTCGTGGTGTGGTATTGTGTAATAAGGTCGGTTTTAGTCGTGTTGTGTTTGTGGTGTAATGTGATGCATATGTGGCTATGGGCTGTAGAGAATGTGTGTATTGGGGATATAGCAAGTGTGTGCATACAGGCTATAGTGTGTGTGTGTTTAGGGGTGTAGAATGTGTTTGCTTACAAGGAATCTAGTGTGTGTATAGGGGATCCAGAGTGTGTATGTTAAAGGACCACTATAGTGCCAGGAAAACATACTCGTTTTCCTGGCACTATAGTGCCCTGAGGGTGCCCCCACCCTCAGGGACCCCCTCCCGCCCGGCTCTGGAAAGGGGTTAAAACTTACCTTTTTCCAGCGCCGGGCGGGGAGCTCTCGTCCTCCGATCCGCCCCGTCGGCTGAATGCGCACACGCGGCAAGAGCTGCACGCGCATTCAGCCGGTCGCATAGGAAAGCATTTATAATGCTTTCCTATGGATGCTTGCATGCTCTCACTGTGATTTTCACAGTGAAAAGCACGCAAGCACCACTAGCGGCTGTCAATGAGACCGCTGCTAGAGGCTTTGGGGGAAGGCTTAACCCATTGATAAACATAGCA